GGCCCTTGAAAAAATTTTTCTGTTTCTCTTCAAATCACAAAGTCCAGAACTAGGCAAAGTATAAACAGTACTGATTTTCTTTCTTATTGTAAGTAAAAAGAGCTAAAAATAATAACTGTACAATTGAAAGTCTAAAATATAAAAAATGACAACTGTATAGTGGCAAATTAAATATCACTAGCTGAGATAGTGGGGGATTCCTTTGTAATTTCTGAGTATTTCAGCTTCTTTTTAGTTTATGCTCAACAATATTGTTGCCCCATGTTTATCTTGACTTGTTCACAAGCATCTATTTAGCCATAGTTCTGTGTTTATAGCATTATTCAGAGCCCTGAGCAGCGTCCCTGGATACCTAGAAATCCCAAGCCCCATGGGAGTCAAAGTTCCTCATCTTGTATTTATGCAGTCACTTTCATCCTTAATATTCTACTGTCTTGCGTCTGCCCAAATATGACTTCATTCCTTTGGTTACCAAGAGCTCCTCCTATTTATCAAGTTCTTGTTTTATGCTAATCTGTACATCTCAGATTCAGGCCATCTGCACATCTTGGGGGCTTGTTCATTGCTCTAATAATGAAAATTATAAATAATGCATGGTGATATTCTTGGAACCCTTTTAGAACAGAATATAATTTTTATGTAGAGAAACTGCTTTTAATTTCCCTAAAGTTTGGTGTATGGTGAGATGTTTTGTGTGTATTTAAGAGTAAGGAGAAATTGCCTTCAATATTGCCATCTGAATAAAGAGGACACCCCACTTACCTCTATTCATTTAAATTATGGTAATAAACTCTTAGCAAAAATTAATATAATATACATTATTGCAACATAGTAAAATATTTTGTCCACTAAGCTATATTGGTTGTTTAGTAACAAACTAACCCAAGCAAATGTTTGAACCTTTGAATGATTACCCATGGCTTGCACCCAGATAAAGTGACCTAATATGGAGAGAAAGCATTGTTTAATTTTAGTGTTCGCTCTGTCACTGGCTGAAATTATTGCTAGGGGTGCAGTTATGAAAGTGGTTTTATTAGAGTTGTACATATGTTCTACAGGCCAGGCCAGAGGCCATCATAACTATCTGATAAGGGACTAACCAGCACACATAATGTCCTTCCACCATTGCTTTTAATTTAAATTAATTAAACCTCTGAGAAATCAGTGAGGTTATCATCAAGTGCTCAAAATAATATAACATGTAATTTAAAAATATTTCTTAAAATAAGACAGGCATCAAATTGTAAACTTGCCCCCAATTTCTGACTTCTGCCTAAAGACACTTCTGATTTCTGCAACCTGTGAAACTCTAAATGCCATGCCATGAATTTCCTAGGACTTATCAAAGCATGGAGCATCACTAACCACTCTAAAAATTCAGTTGTTATTTTGTTTTTGAGCCATGCTGTCCCAGGACCAGAATTAGCCCTTGAAACACTTAAGCTGTTTTCTTGATGGGGAATTGACTACCAAGAAAAAACACTTGTGAGGATTACAACCTCTTGAGTACTTCTGAAATTTCCAATATGATACATTGAGAATCAGTAAGTGTAAGCCATAGTTTCCATTTTGCCTTTATCCTTTTTTATGTCTCTAACAGAAGGTGAAGAAGATGCACAGCGGAATTCGACAGAACAAAGTGGGGAAGCCCAGGGAGAAGCAGCGAAGTCTGAAAGCTAACACTCCACTTTGATCTTCATCAACACCTGACAATGTCTCAAATCTCCAGGCCTGGCTGGAATGCATTTATTTCCAAGAGTGAAAAGGGGAAAAAGAAAGAGGCTGTGCTGCATTGCAGGAACCTGTGTGTTATCATGTTAAAAATGGGGGCAGAAGCTGTGGCTGCAGACAGACTTTTCTCTACCTCTGGCATTAGCAATGGTTGAAATCATGTGGCTTGTGTTTGGACGTCATTTTTGTACGGATCCTTTCACTTGACCATATGATGAAATGCTTGTAGAAAGTAGCACTGACCTAGATGATGATTCTTCCTGTAGCATCTGGCCCCTCACAATGTCAGAGGATTTACTTGTGTCTAATCGCAAAGGGTTGGTTGAACCCCAGAGTTTAAATAGCTCTGGTCCAAGTATTCACCCAGTAAAAGAACCATCCAGAAAGCACTGTTTTTAGCATTATGTATCTGTGTGTTCCTGCTGTGTTATTTACACTGTTTTGTATTGTACAATATAGATGCTCAGCACTGCCCCCTTCTTTGATTGCTTATGAAAAACAAAAATGATGTACGTTACTGTGAATTTTTATACCACTCATTTTTAAAAGGGCTGCCTTTTTTTCTGCTCCGTAGTGTGGTGGTGTACACAGGATAGAACACAATTTTTAAAACTTAATCTTTTCCCTTAATTCACTGCTGATGAAGTCTAACATTCATCAAGACTTCTTTGCTTATTATACAGGCATTTGAAAATATCCATTAAGTGAATATTACCTGAATTTGGTCTTTTTAATGTCTACACACACCAGAATTCAATCTGCAAATTTTGTTTTATTCCCAGAGAACTTTTTCCAACTAATATTTTTATTTTTAATTATGAGGATTTTGGAGAATTGGGAAGGCAGGAAAGAAAATCCAAGCAATCAACATATTTTCTTCTATGGAATATAATTTCCCATAGTGCTATATGATACTGTTAAAATTTGGAGGACAGCTTATCTCCATGGAGTTGCAAAAGACAGAGAAAATGATCTTTCAATCATGTGAACACCAATCACAAAAGTAAAGCCCTTTTGTTGTGTTTTTCATGTCTTTTTTCAGCCCTATCAGATCCAAATGTTATTATGCACTTTTTAATGTTTGTAAACTTTTACTAATAATTAGTGTGAATTGCATTCTGATACAATAATAATCATCATTAGAAGCTGACAAAATTCTCATTAATACCGTTGATGGCCTCTCCTGTTTTTTGACATCATGGTTCTTATATGGAAAGTCTTGTGAGCTGTGTAATCTCTCCGGTCAGTATTACAAAATCATTTCTCAGTGGTAATAAATAAGGAACCAGTAATATGCCAGTGGCTTATGAATTACTGGACAAACAGCAGACAACAGGAAGACCCTTTACAATAAAGAACCCACTTAACTGTCCTCGAGGTCTTAGATACAGTCCCATGTGAAGTAGATTAAGCAGCATTTCAACAGGTGATCTACATGGACATACCAGGAACTCAGGCCTCCCTTGTAGTCACATAAAGGATGAATGGTGAATCTGCCCTCATCTCTCTTCACAGTACTTTTTGAATGAGTGGGATAAGGGCCTGGGTATCACTTGGTCCTCGATCATATATTACTAGAAAAAATGTTAACAGTGTGAGTCTTTGAGAAAATAGAAAGAGGGAAGATTACATTTTAGAGTACTTCCTTCTGTCTAGTCCAATAAGATCTAAAATGTCCAGTTAAAATTCAAACAAATTTGCCTATTAATAGACTCACAAGTGGGAAAAGAGGTCCCTGAGGCTATTTTAGACAATCTCTGGTAGTCCATTTAAAACATTCAACCCATACAATCATTTTTTTTCAATATCCTCATAGCTTTCTTGTGAATGTAGGTAAAGTTCTCTTCATCCTTAAAGTTGTGGAATTCTAAACTGATTTCATGTGACTTTGTAAAGTTTAGGATTAGTGCTGAGTATATGTGGAGGATTTATATTCCTATGTGATATACTATTATTAATAATGCATGTGGTATCATGCTTGTCTTTGAATAGATAATAGTGCTAAATTGTGAAGTCATATGGAGCTTTTGAATTATTTTGACCTCTTACTGCTACTTTGTCTGCTATATTTCAAACCCAGAACTATTCCCAAGCCAGAAAATAAAAATCAACTTTCCAAAACACCCACATTCTGCAAATGTTGCTCAGCAAAAGTTCATAGTAGCTTCCAAATTTTATTGTAATATCTTTACATGGAATTGAATTGTTAAGGAGAAAAGAAAAGAGTGGAAAACTAAGGCGTTGGTTTGATAATATGCATTGAATGCCTGTTAACCAACTGACTTTCTACTCATCACTTCACAACACATATTCTCCCATTTAATCCTCAAATAATTTGATTACAGAAGTCTATACCATTTCACAAATCAGGAAATTAAGGCTCAATAAGGCATACATTTTACAAGTTTAAAGAACTAATAAGTGATAAAATAAGATTTGAACCTGTGTTTATCTGTTGCGGGGAGTTTTCTACTGCACATGCCCTAAAATTGAAGCCAATTACAGAGCATGTGTATCTGTAAGGGAACTTTTAGAGATGGACTAGATCAGCCTCCATATTTTAGAAGAGGAAATTGAGTCCCAGAAAAGGCAACTGATTTTCCTAAAGGTTACCTAGATGAATAATGACACAGATGTGATTAGCACTTTTACTTAATAATAATAGTACATTTAATTAAAATGTATTTTTGTGTTATACTTCCCAGAAGACATTTTCCTGACATGAAGTCTGTAAACTTAGCATGGTTCAGATTTTTTATGTTTCATGCTACTCATTTTATTTAATTGACTAGAAATGTGATGATTTCAGTTTTTTGACTCACTTGCAACAAGTGTGAACTTTTCAAATTTATCTTCAATTGACTGTAAGCAACCTATGCTGATATAGTGATACCATAAATTCACAAAAATGTTTTTCCAACACATAAGAGACAGGAAGCCTCCAATTTTTAATCTATATCCCTAGAGTTGCACACTGTTAATGCCCAACACTTGCGTCTTACTCAGACACAAGTACAAATGGACCGTTTTAGGAGGTGAATGATATGGCTATTTCTCTTCAGAGAAGCAATAAAGGGTAAAGAAATGTAACTGCGGGCAGTCGAGTTTCTGAGTGAAGCCAAGAGTAATAGGGAGAAAATGTATAGTCATTAAGTGAAAACAGGAAAGGATCTATGTTTATGATGTCTTAATAGGCCCTAAATTGTTCTTTAATTAAAAGAGTGGCAGTCTCCGAAGTCATCTGTGAGCTTGTATGACTTTTGTATTTAGCAATGTTGCATGCTCACATAATTGATATTAAAAGTAATACATTTTTCTGAAATGTACACAGTCTATTAAGAGTATTTATTGAACACACACTATGTACTTGGTGCTCAGGAAAGTGCTATGGGTGATAACAGAGAAAGCCCAAGCTTCAGCCCTCCTGCGGTGGACGTTCTCAGCATCCCAGTCTCACTTTTTCCTGGCCTCTGCTCCAAGAATTTTCACCTCCATTCCACTCTGGTAGCCCACCTCTGGGCCTTATCACGTACCAGAGCCATTCCACCTCTTAAACACTAAACAGCAATATCACTCCCGCATTCTTACATGCTCACCTGCAGGACAGGGATTTTTAATCAGAAGAAAGACAGGTGTTTATCAGAATCCTTTGAAAGTTTTTACAATGCACCTGCACACACACAGATACATTCATGCACAAACACTCTGTACCCCTTGGAAATATTCCCTGTGAGACTTTCATACCTTTTTCCTCCCAACTTCACCTCCACAACTTGAGAACCACTGGCCTAGAAGAAGTGCATGTCTCCCTGATGCACCCATCCTGTTCACTGAAAAGTTTTAAAATGAATCAACAAACCCGCTCACAGACATGTAGAGGTTTACCACACTAAGAATAACATCTTGGGGTAGAGGAGCAAAGAGACTTTAAGTTATTTTATCTTAGTGTCGCTCTCTTTTCAAAATACTATTTTTACCATATAGGCAGTAAAAGTCAAGCAGAGACCAGGGTGAGGCTGAGGAGAAAAGCATCAGATAGCACTCAGCCTGAATCAAGGCAAGGACTTAAGTCAAAGAGGCAAAAGAGGATGCAGATCTTTAAATTCTTCTTACTCAGGTCACAAGGATAAAACACTACATAGGGATTTGGGACAAAATACTAGCAAACAGTGCAATCACTTCACATTAGCTTCTCTTGTCTCTTCTGGTAAATGTTTTGCATCTGTCTAATCCAGGATGCGGGGACTTGGGATCCTGGCCATCTCTCATTGTAAAGTTGAAATTAACAAACCACCTGACTATCACCCATTATCTTTCTAATTAGCATCACATTTACTTTCTGATCATATCAAGATGGACATTTCCTCAGCAACTCTCCTTCCAGTCTGAAATCCTGATAATCTTTCTCTTCAGTGCTTTCAATTTCTTGTCACCAATGTCCAATTAAAATCAACCAAACCATCTCCCTTCTCTCTACTTGTTTTCTGAATGACTGTAGAAAGTGTATAACGATGTTTAGCCATTGTTTGCAACCTTAGCTTAGACACAAGTGCTGTACAGCTCTCTATTTTCATGTCCCTGGGGACAGAGGACATTTACCACTTCCTGTCTAAGATTATTCCTTCATCTGAGGTTTTTAAACCATTTTCTTTCTGACCTTAACAGGAGATGTGTTAATTATCCTTTTCTCTTCACTGACTACCCTTGTCCAAAAACATGCTCCAGTTTTCTAGTTCCCCTCTCTCCTTCACTACTTAGTTTCTCAAAATAGCAACCTATGCTCCTTGTTTCCATGCTTCTCTTCCTTATTTCTTATCCTTTTGCAATCTGACTTCCAGGTAAATTTTTTCTCATTATCATGACGTCATTAGTAGCTCCTGGACCCTCAGCAATTGTCACTGAAGCCCTGGACAATGCGGCAATTAATAAGTGATGATGTTACAGAGGACTCAAGCATCACCTAAATCAAGGTTAATAATCGTATAATTTAGGTTGATATTAGTATGACAGGGTGTAGCTCCTTAATAAAGTCTTCTTAAGGATGAAATCCACGTATCTCAAGAAGAAGTCTATCTTCTCCTCTAGGTTCACATCTTCCATTAGTTATAGATGTGTCCTTTCTCTTTAACCACATTCTTCCCATTATGTTTGCTACATTCCCAGATCCTACAGTGCTCATTTCTACATAGGGGTGGTTGTTACATATATAGGCACTTATCTTGGGCTCATATATCGAGATGGACAAGATTATTTTGTGATGTTTTAGAGTTCTGTGTTTCATCATACCTGGAGATGACTGCCATTGATATTACTAGTTCCTCCAAACAGCAGTCACATACAAGCAAAACCACTTAACTTCTTTGTGCTGGTCCCACTCTAGTTCTCTGAATTAGACCTAAACAAGTGCATCAGTACCAATGGTCAAATATAATGGATAGTTTATATATGTTTTATTAGCCTACCCAATGACATTTAATCCTCTTCACCACGGAATAGTTATTGAATTGCTTCATTTGTCTTCCTTTTTTTCTTCAGGTTGTTTTTTTTTAAACTTTTTTTTATTGATTTATAATCATTTTACAATGTTGTGTCAAATTCCAGTGTTCAGCACAA